CGCCCCTGCGTGCTCTCCTTTTCTCGTGCGTTGTATACAACTCATAGGTATGTCGTGAGGTATACACCATGAGCATGTTACAAGTGGTGGTGTATTCATGGGATTGTTACACTTGTTACTAATGTCGCGGCTGGTGCACCACGTCGATCGAGTGACAAACCTCCCCCGATAGAGTATGGGTATGGGGTTGGAAATTCAAGGAGCCGAAAAAAAAAAAAAAAAACCCCTCCCCCTTGCCGCGTCACGTCCGGATTTTCCGATTCGCGCGTATCCCGCCACCGAAGCAATTCGAGAGCGGAAATCGTTGCAATGCACGCGACGATCTTCTCGCTACGGGAAAAGTCGGGGCGTTTGTGTGTGTGTGTGTGTGTGTGTGTGTGTGTGGTACAAGGCCAGACCGGATAATCGAACGAAACGTAGGGTTCGGGGCGCGCTTCTGCCGATCGCTATTGTCTCGCGAGTGACTTTGCTTTTTTTCGTAGCCACCCCTCCTCTGCCCCTTGCGCCACTCGTCCACAGCTCTGACGAAACTTTTTCATTTTCACGCTCACCCCCGCCTCCTCCCAGCGGCTCGCAAGGTCGATACAACGCAATCACGAAATGATGAATAATTGTTGCGTGCTCTACTTTAACGTAGCGCCGATAATTGTCATCTCAAAGGGGATTACAGCAGAGGGAGTTTCAAATGTCACGTGTCAAAATTTGATTTTGCTCGCGCGCGGGAGCACCGCAGACACTCGCGTGATTGTTACGGTTGATTAGCGCGGAAAAACATGATAATCAGCCGTCGAAATGGTTGTTGCCGATGGCGCGTGTACCGGAGCCAGGATCGTACGTTGCGGACACGTGAAATTCCTCGGCGCGCGAGGGAAAGCCGCAGCTCGACTGGCAATCACTTTTCGGGTCTGGGAAATTTAATTTTCCGCGCTTGCGGCGAGCGAGCCCTTTCGATGCAGCTGGTTACAGGCAGGTGTGTGGTGCGAATTTTTGGTTTTTTTTTTTTTTTTTGGAAATCGTTTCGTTTTGTTTTACATTTCTCCCGCTGAAAGCTGATAAGTGGATTTGACAGTATTTTTTTGTTTTGTTTAACGGTAGGTATTACTTGTTCGTTCAATGGAAGTGGCGCTCAAAAATAAGTAGGTATCCCCGTGATGCGTTTTTTTGCACAATAGCGGGGATTCAAGAAAAATTTCATACTTTTTTCATACACGGCGTATCGGATCACAAAACAAGCTTCGATCATATACGTTGTATCGATCATGTACGGCTTAATTTTAAGGCTTCGCATTGTCATAAGAATCCTTCGCTCTTCCACAAGCGACTTTACCTTGCACGGTGTATTTTTATAAATATATACGGTAGATTTCTGCACGCAGTCTTATGAAAATATTTCACTTTCACTCGAGATTTTAATACACATTGATTTTTAGCGATACGATATATCCCTTGCAATTCTATCGTGCCTATACAAACAATGTGATTTTCGTCACACGCTTGCCAAATAAAGTTGTCTTGTGTATAATGACATCACGGCAATAATCCAATAAACTGAGCTACTGTAAAAAGTAAAAGTTTCTCCCAGTAGCAATGATTTTGTCCAAGAGTATGTGTTATACTGCGAGATCGAAATCGTTTTTAAAAATAAACAGCTCGTACCATAGGAAGAAACCTTGGAATAAATTAAACTAAAATCGATAGGTTAACCTACTGTAACTTTTAAGAAATCAACCTTTCTTTGGCAAAAGTTATTATAGGCCACAAAAAAAAGCTTTGAAAATATTAGTAATCCACGCTACTGTAACCACAGCACGAGTGCATTCGATTTAGAACACAATTCTGGCATGATAAATAATACAAGACTCATTAAACGTTTGCAGTCTTAAACGGTTCCAATGATGGTGATGTACGATAAACACGACAACCAAGTCCCTTTGGATTTGCCTCGCTCAAGAAAAAACAGGAGGTTTTTCATTAAAGTTATTAAATACAAAGCTTGCACACTGGTGCCTACGGGAGATCTTCGGAAAATACTAATGGTAACTATACGTTGTGGAAGTAAAAAACAAGTCAAGCGACTAAAATGAAACTCCGAGAGAGAGAGGGTGGGGTGGGGGCGTCTTCCAGAAGATTATTTCGCACACCGAACGAGGAGCTATGCAAATATTAATCTTTCGGATGTTTGCCCGAGAGCGCATATTGGTATATATATATGTACATGCGGTGTTGTACTTTGAAATCTCAATTTTCATCGGCTAAATGCACCTGGATATTACATGCCCATACATGTTTGCACGGTGCCATTGTTGTACCCGCCTACTCTTTATAATGATACACGGACTGACATTTTATTCCACATTTCACGCTCGAATCGCATTTGGACTCTGAATTAATACGTACATATATATGTATATAAGCATACATAAGCAGGTGTACCGATTTGAAGCGTTATTTCATATTAGGATTTTTACAATAAAATAAAATTGAAAATATTTCGGTGACGCGCGCCCATTGAAATTGTTTCCACGCGTCAAATTGTTTCACTCCGTAGCGACAAATTTCTTTTTTCAACTTAATTTTCACACTCCAAATACATACATGCGCGACTGATTAAATTCGAGCTCGTGCTTTCAACCCAACGAATATCGGAGGGCAAATTATCTCCAATTATCGTTTAAATGAAAATAGTGGCTACATCGAGATGAATATCAACACCTTCCACAGCAAAATACGCAACTCTCACATATTAGACTGTTAGCGACGGGGCGAAAAATAAATGTACTCCCTTTCGCGTATGAATCATCGTTAGAAACGACTTTTCCTCCCGAGGCACAAGTGGGCGTATAAATCAACGCGCCGATTCGTCTTATCCTACGTAGACTCCCGGCTTTCGCGCATAAGTATAGGTAAGTGCATCGGCGAGCCGGAGCCGAATGAATTCGTAAATTGTGAAAAATAATTCACCCTCGCCGCACAGAGATTTATGTAGCGTGCTTACAACATAGGTATTATTTTCCCGTGAGATTTATTGCGGCCAAACACTATTGACGTCTCGGCCGACATGGACATACATATACGTAGGTAATAAAGTTCGGACTTTTAAGCAGCGGTGCTGCTGTAAATAGGGTAAGATACCTACGTATACGCTTTGTTCGGGTAGTTTCGGGACAATAAATTTGTCAAACGAAATTTTTACAAGTTGCCATCGGTGGAGCTCTTGGAATACGCAGCAAAGCGTCCATCAGTAGAAAAGCCCTCTTCTTGGTCAGACATTACATTTTCAACTTATAATAAGATTGAATTTAATCCGTAGACGAGCATCAAGTGAACTTTTTCACTTGCTCAAACATTTAAGCACGGCAATCACGCGACTTTGTGTCAGATGTACGCCTGTAAATGAGTATACGTAGGTGTACAGGGGGATGCACTTTGCCACGAGCAAAAAAGGAACCAATCCCAGCCAAGAACACGTATACCTACACTATACCTAAAATATACATAATACAAGATGCGACGAGGATTTCATTTACAATAAGTTTGCGCCCTTACGACGCTATGGGTGGTTACGCGGGTAAACGAGGCGCCTTCCGTTATAACTTTCCCCGATTGGTCTGCATTTGCATTCACGGTTCGTTGCACGTGCATGTTTTTCCCGTGTATCGTACATGTGACGCGAAGTCGGTTGATGCTTGCTACACTGCTGTGAGCTCCTCTTTTCACGGGGAATAATTTGTCAACTTTTACATCATTTTGCCGGCGTGTAAATAAAAATCACCTGCATTCCTATTGACATTTGTAAAAATAACCAGTATTGCTTGCTAAAAAAAAAAAAAAAAGAAGCGGATTGAATTTAAGACGTGCGGCCACGGCGTTATTGATGGAGGAGCTCGGAATATTCAACAGTATCTACCTGTACGATGTTTCTCTCTTGTCTTGGTACGGGAGCAGCAGTAGCAACGCATTGATTGATGAAACTGCAGTGCATCTACTTTTCATCGGACACCATTTGTTACCGCGAGCGAAATATTACGGTGCCCCCATATCCGGTGAGTTAAAAAAGTAATACAAGCGCAGGATTGAACGAAACAAAAAAAAAAAAAACAAAAAAAACAGGTATTAGCGCGTAATAGAGCACGGATTTTCAATTTAAAATCCATCAGAGACCACCACGTGTACAAGTATTATCAATCGTAACTCGATTTTTGATGCGAAGCTAAAAAATTTCGTTTCTCGTTTCGATGATACATATTACTCTCGGGTACACGATTAAATTGCTTTTCCAACATACGTATACATGTGTATGAAAAAATTGCAAACTCAATGGGTCAACGTAATATATAGTTGGGTGGCGCAAAATCATATCGAAATGAAATACAGAGCAAAACTACGGTGCGAGCGATAACTGTACAACTGTTGTATCTACCCACGACTTTCATCAGCCGGTGGGCCACGAGTGAGAGCCATCGACTTGACATCAAACAGAGCACATTGTGTTGCCTCCCCCGATCATTTTGGCCCCCCTCCCCCATATATGCATGGGAATGCATTCGAGACGCTAATTTCCGAGCTGCCTGCCTATCTACCTGCAGCACCTCTCTCTCTCCGATCCATCGATTTTGATTTGCGCCCCTTCTCTTATACGCTATACTGTACAAATGCTTACTACTCTCCCCATCAGTCTCGCTGAATGAAGAGGGCGGGATAGTTTTTACTTTCGTTTTTAACTATTATTGACAGCTCAATTGTACTGTTTGATTTGTGATTTGGATTGTAATGAGTCAAATTTCACAACTTGAAATGAATCGTGCGATCTTTAAAAATAAAAAATAAAACCTACGTTTGATTTCATCAGGTTTGTCGAGTCAAGTTCTAACACGGTAGTAATTATAAAATAATACATTTTATTCATACCGAAGTTTTAAACAGTACGTACATAAAAATATGAAATGCTTGTACTTAACTTCAACTTATTACAAAGCATCGTATAAATTAAACAGAGGAACTGTTGTTTATATTTTATCAAAAATAAATATCTCTCGGGTATCAAACTCGAGAAAAGGGATTGATTTGTGTAGGTTGAGATTTTTATTTCAAGGTATACGTATAGGTAGGAATAACGTTTCGCGCGATACCTCAGAAAAAAGCTCTTTTTTTAGATACACGCGGTGGAGAGTCATCCAGGCTCAAGTGTCTTCTTTTTTTATTTTTCGCGTTGTCTTCCTGAGCAGCCGCCTCCTCCTCTTCTTCTTCTTCTTCTTCTTCAGAATCGTTTTCGAATTTCTCGTCGGTTACGTTTTGGGTACTGTTTCTCGTGAAATCATTCATATCCCTTCGCCGGACCAAACTGTATCCCCTACGAAATTTAAAACAATTGCTAATTAGCATTCAGTAGTTTAATCGCTTAAAGTTAAAAGTTAAGCAACAAAGTTTTCACGTACTCCATATTTCTGTACAATTCTTGGAATATTTGTTTTCCGCTCAAGTTAGACAGATGTGAAATGAATTTTTCGTCGTGACTTATGACGATCAGTTGGAAATTTTGATGATGTTGCGCACGCAATTGTATAACTCTGTGAAACATTGTATTTAGTTTTTGGACAAAATTTGAAATATTATATTTTCAGGATATTCGAAAGATGTACTTGGAAAGCGTGACAGCTAAATTCGTAGCGTTTTCTTCATCCAAATTGGTAGTCGGTTCATCCAAGGCAAGCACGGCACAGTCACTACAGAACGTTTCAGCTAAGGCCATACGAATGATGATAGAAGCTAAAACCTGAAGAAAAAAAAAAAAATCAAATAAAGTCACGTATCCTCAAGTTTTTATCATTTGAATGACAAATTTCATACGTACTTTTTGACCAGCACTGCATCTGCCTTTCATATCCATTTCCATCGATCTCTTGACTTGAACGAGTTTATAGTTGTACGAACGCCGCTTATCACCGATACCTTCTGTACTTTGCACGCGAATTTGGATCGAGGAAGTATCGTTTCCACCATACACCAACGACCACAACTGATGCATTATTTTGTTTACAGTATTCATTCTCTCTTCGTGAAACTGTATCATGGCTTTGTCAAGGACTGTGGCATAAGCTTTCAAGTTTGCAATCGCCTCTTTTTGGATCTAAAAGTAATTTTATGATCATATTGGAGTTACTATTTCTTTTGTTGGAAAAATATCGACTACTTACAATATGCTTCAACTGCTTTTCCTTATAGTTTTTGCGGACCATTCTGTACTTATCTTGGTTCAAATCTTTTCGTTCCATCTTGATGGCGTTTTCCAGTTCACCTTGGGCTCCTTTGATAACATTTTTCTGAAATATTTATACATTATATTTAAAGCCAACACGAAATATTATAAGTAAAAAAAATTTTTGTAAATATGTTTATCTCATACCTTTTTTTCATATTGATCTTTCTCCTCTTGAAGCAGATGGTATTCATCCTTTAATTGATCAAACTGCAGGTTTTCCAGTAATTTTTTATTATGAGACAACTTTTCTTTTATGTTTTCAAGATCTTCTTGCTTTCTAATGAGATCCAAGTTATTTTCGAGGTCTCTTTTTCCAGTTTCTTGAGACTTACACTGTTCATCGAGGAACCGTATTTTTTCTTCTTTGGTTACTTTTTCAAGTTTCTCTTTTTCATATTCTTGCTTAATTTTTTCCATAGAAGCTTTAATGTTTTTTAATTTTTCATCTATTTTGCTATTTACATAGTCAAGCACTTCTTGGTGAACTGTTTCCAATCCGTTAATTTCGTTGTAACTTTTGGTTTTAAAATTAGTGTCTTTGTCATGTTCCTCGCGATTTTTTTTCTAAATTATAAACACAAAAATAAAATTTACATCATAATGCCATAGCAACAACAGTGTACATACCTTCAGCTTTTCTAATTCTGTGATGGCGCATGCTAGCTCGTTTTCTGCTTCAACTAATTTTAATTTTAATGTGCGTTGATCTGAAGCAATGGATTCTCGTTTGCTCAGGAGCTCATTGTATTTATCTTGCAATTGTTTTTGCTCTTGCATAGTTTGTCGAATCTGAATGACTTCCTCGTTCAATTTATTCTTCTGCTCTCTTGCTTTAGTAACTTTTTCTTGGCCTGTCTGCAAACTTGTCTGTATCTTCGTTACGTTATTTTCGACTTTGGTAAGCTCTGTTTTAAGAGCTTGACGTTCATCTTTAGCCTCTTGCATACTTCGATCTCCAATTTTGCCTGAATATAAAAACGTTATTGTCATTGTCATATATTTAACATTAAAATTAAAAGATTGAACTAGTGTGGCTTTTAATCACCTGCTTTTTGCATTTCCCGTTTTTTCAATGCAATTGTGTCACTTAGTTTGTCTTGTTCATCAATGCTACTGTCTAATAAAATTACATCTCCTATAATGTTTTTGTATATAATTAACTTCTCTTCAGGTTCTGACAGTACTAGTCTTAAACTTTCAAGACTCTCCTCGGTATTTTTTACGTCTTTTCCAAGTTGCTCTACAGAAGTTCTTAAATATCGCAAATCGTAGATTAAAAAATAGTATGCTTGTAGCTTGGAACAAATTTAGAATGTGAGATTAAATTCAAACTTACTTCAATGCTGGTAGCTTAGTTTCAATTTCTTTTATCATTCTATTAACTGGTTTGAGCTGTTGCAAAGCATCGTAACGAGTTTGTTCGGACTTCAATTTTTTTTCGCAATCCTTCAAGCATTGAGGACTTTTTTCTATTTCTGAGGACAGTTTCTGTTCTAATTTTTTGGTTTCTGAAGAACTCTGAAATCCTCTCTCACAAAGAGGACAGCATGACTTCTTTTTAAGAACTTTCAAAAACTCGTCGTACATTAAAGACTGATTAGCATATATTCCTCTTTGGTCTTGGAGATGTTTAACTTTTCTTTCTTGTAGTAGCAACACCTCGTTATAATCTCCACCCTGACATTGTGAATACACTTTTTCTCGATAACCTTAGACGCAACAAATTGCACATTAATTTATTAATTCTCATATTTTATTCATAAGAAAATATTTAAGCATTACCTTCTAGTTCAGACATTGTTTTTTTCAATTCTTTTTTCTTGTGTGTCAAGTCGGTCTCCAATTTTGTCAATTTTTTCTGTTCTTCTTCGATTTTTTTCATCAAATTGAGTTTCTCATTTGTCTAAGAGTTCAAGTCAAAATATTTAGATTCATCTACATGTTCAAAGCATTTGAAAGAACACCTTCAATACGTACCAAAGATCGTTGGACCTCTTCCAAACTATTTTTAATCTTTTTTTGTGGAATTTCGTTGTCATCGAAAAGTAAAGTCAGATCATCTTTATGCTTGTTTTTCAAAGATATAATTTTTGAGTCTATTTTATCTAATCTGCTTTGATCGTATTCCAATTCAGTTTGTTGCGCACTTTGTTGATGCAAAGAATCAATTTCTCGATCTATCTGATTTAGTTTTACATCCAATTCTTTTTTCTTTGCGATTTCTTCCTGTAAGCTTTTCTTCAAAGAATCTTCTTTGAAATTTTCTAGAAGAGAATTGTAGGTTTTCGTGGCATTTTCTAGATTAGATTCAACGCCTCTTAATTTATTACCAGCTTCTCCAGCCTATCGGAGTGTAGTGTTATCAAATTATTTATAAAAGAAAAAAAAAGTTTTTGAAAACAAACTTACATTTTTAATTTTATCTCTTATTTCTTTCAACTCAACGACGATACCTTTGGATTCTTTATCTTTGAGATTACTTTCTGATTCTATTCCAGTTTTCACAGTTCTTTTGTTATCAACTTCTTCCTGAAGAAATTTTTCTTCGCTTTCTCTCATTTCTATATTATTTTTCATTGCTTCCACGAAACTTTCATATTTATTGTTTATTTGACTAATACAATCTTGTATTTCTAAAATAAAAATTTTTCTGTGAATCTTTTAAATGCAACAAAAACTTTAATACGAAGTAATCGCTTGATTTACCTTCTTCAGTCAATTCATCATCATTTTCTGGAATTTCCCATGTACTCATAGCTTTAGTTAATAAGTCATTGCGTTTTACAACTTTATCATCAAAAGATAATTTTTTTTCCTTCAAGGAGCCTAACTGAATTCTCGTATCATCCAGCTTTTTTGATAAAACTTTTTCTCTTTTTTCTATCTCAACTAATTCTTCTTCATACTAAATCATTAAAGAGTACTATGATGATCATGTATGTACATTTTTTGACATATTAATTTAGTATTAAAAATTACCTGTTTTTTAACTGTTACTTTTTGAGTAAGATTTTGATCATAAGTCTCTAGCTTCTGAACTAATATTTCTTTCGGTCCTGTGTGTACATGTTTAATATGCTTTTTTAAACTTTCCACATAATTATTGGTCACCTTGTAATCAGTCTCAACTTTTTCTAAAAATAAAAATAGTATGTTGATTAGTTTGTTGTGATTAGATCTCAAAAATATAAACTGGGATTAAATTATTACTGATGATGTCATCAAGATTATCGTGCTCCTTTTTAATTTGAAGAATTGTTTTCATTCTTTCATCAATAGGTATAATAGCTGCATTAATTTCATTTATTTTCTCTTTTCCTTCTTTTTCTCTTTTTTCATCTTCTCTCAGTTTACTTTCTTTACTTTCTACTACTTCAACTAATTTTTTCAATCCATTTTCTTCTGCTTTAATTTCATTCACTCCTGATTGCAAATCTTTGATAAGTTTAGTGGTGGCGTCTAGTGCCTTGTTGTACTTGGATGTATCAAAAATGTCATCAAATCGTTCCTTCAACTTTTTTCCATCCTCTAGAGGCCAGTTGGACTCTTCTTGGTGACAAAAGATAACGTAATTCAATATAGGCTTGGACACTCCCATTGCAACCAACATTTCTCTATCTATGTCAGCACATCGGCTACTTATTTGTATTTTCTGTGAAAAATATATGTAAGTTTTACCTGTCAACCTAATAATTCAATAAACAAAAATCACTCACATCATTAGTTTTCTCGTTAATACGTGTGATAGTATTGTCTAGACCTTGAAGTTTTAATGTACCATTTTTTTGGCGTGTCACTTGCATTGTTCTGGTGACAACAAGTTCCTGGCCTTTTTTGTCAAGAATTTTTGCTTTTACCTGACCCCTTACCTGCATATATTGCAAAATATAGCCAACACGTTCAACTAATATAACAACAGTTCATAAAAAATATGAAGAAAATTGAAGTACTTACCGTATGACTCATGGCTTTGGGCTCATGAACAAATGACTTTCCTCTGTCCGAATCAGGTGGATATTCTCCGGATGTAATGAATTTTAGAGCTTCGATGATAGTTGTCTTGCCAGTGCCATTAGGCCCCAGGACTAATGTCAGGGGCTTGGAGAAGTGAATCCTAGCTTTTTGCGATTCATCGCCGAAATTTCGAATTCCTCGGATCTCAAGGTCTTTTATCCTCGACATTTTTAAGTTTTTTACCTTCTTTGGTTAAAGGACACGTGTTGAGGAGGTACCTAATAGAGAAAAAAAAGCGTTTGTAATTAAGTAAATACTCAGATTGGAGTACGACGAACTACCGGCACTAAAAGTAGCGGACAATATTTATTACCTTTTTTTTTAACTTTGATGAACTTGCATACATGCATGCGTCACCTTTTAATGGAGGATTTGTTTATGCCACCACTCCTCCGATCGTCGACGTTTTTCGTTGAATCGTTGTATCGTTGAGACAAAGTCTACTGAATCAATACAAAAATTTTTAAAAATAAACTGACAAGTGCATGCATACAAAAACACCAATATCGTACAGTACTTACTACAGTGAACACTGTCAACATACCTTCTCACAATCAAATGCTTGTGTTAACTATCGTCAATGACGTCACATAACCGTGACGTCATAACTGCAGTTGATTGCGACCATTATTGTAGGGTTGCCTAACATAACCTCTTGTATAGGTGATATTCAAATTGCGCGCGTAACGCGTAACGAATCAACATATGCGCGCGCACTTCACTAAAGTTTTCTGCATTTGCCTTTGCCTTCTGCTGCTAACATGGCGAACTTGCAACAATTGCGGATTTGCGTGTAAAGTGCTGATTTTCTGTATAAATAAATAATAGTGTTTCGTAAACCCATGTCCCGTGTTGGTGTGTGATCGCGCGTGTGGGTGGTAGATACATATAGTAGACTCTAGATTAGACTTTCCGTGTACCATTCATTACAACAGCTACTTAGGCTTTATCGCTATTCGCGATTCGCTAAGTGCAACTCAAAACTATAAGTTAAGAGTATAGTACATCGTACGTTACCTCTCGTCTTATCGGCCTAGTCTCAATTTCATATCAAATAAGATACAAGAGATCTCGTGGTCGTTGACTGTCGTTGAATGCCAAACGTCGCGCAATCAAGTATAATTAAGTATCATCCAATTGTCTGTGTTCAGTACCTGTATTCTACAGCAACTCCTTCTCCTCGTCCTCGGAGAAGAGGAAAAACATCCTTCTAGGTAGATCTGGGCTGCGTGGCTCGCCACACGACGAGCCGATCGGCATCCCGTGGCCTCCGCTGTGGATCTTGACGTCTTGTCCCCGACCCGCTTGCAACACGAAGCTCAAAATGCCCATGGTAAGTGCATACCAATCACTTTAACTACTCATATGACACCATACGTACATATAAGTGTATACATGTATTTTGGCTCAGATTTATATCATCTCAGTTCTTTGTTATTGTTTTGCTGTATTCCATATACTTTCAAGTAGTTCCATAGCCCTGCTCCGCAAAAGCTCCTATGCCTTCCAATTCGAATGAGTGTGTATTCTGTTTTTCTGAATAGCCTATCTACTTAGGACGATGATAGGCTGGTTTTTGGAGTGCGATTGTGTGGTTAGTGGTCAATGACACCTTCAAAAACAATAAAATGTGAATCAACCGCATCTGGCACTTGAAAATTCATCATAAATAATGAAACGAGATAGGTTGCGTAATTTTAATGATTTTGGGATTGTTTGAGTGTCATTGTTGTTCATAGTTGCCAAGAATAACAGATAGACAGCAATTGTCGTCTCTAGAAGGATTTTAATTCTTGTAGAGCAATCATACACCTCTGGAAGACATGTCAGCTGGTCGAGGGCAAGGTGGCGGAGGGCCTCCACAAAACTGTTTAAAAGTCTTTATCCAGCGAGATTATAGTGAGGGCACTATGGTTAAGTTTCAAACCAGATTTCCTGCCGAACTGGGAGATAGAGTGAGTAATCGCTTTCTAACTCTTCTTCTGTTAATGCAATGCTTTTATCAGTCCACCCCCCTCCCAATTTCTATTTACCCATTTCAATTTATCTTGGTTGTTTTTATGTATCAATTATCACGATAATATGATGAGAATAATACATTAAGCTCTTTTATTAAATTTAGTACTTGTAAAATTAAAGTTTTATAAGTGTTATTTCTCAATAAGAGGAAAACCTACTTCTCCAAAACTACTCATGTAGAGTAGATTGGCACCATAGAAAATAGCCGTATTTTAACATCAAATCAAATTTGAGTCCTTAACATTGATACTAACATGAAGTTTAAATGTCTGCTACGCAGTTGGACCGGCAATCTTTTGAATACACAATCAACCAGTTGAACAACATATTCGCAGAGGCAGAGGAAGCCACCTGTTCGACCTATTGCTACGGCTGTATGGCTTGCCTCACGGGCTACCTCATATACATGTGCATGGAAACGCAGTACGAGAAAAGTTTGCGCAAGGTCGCTAAGTTCGTGAGTGAACAAAACGAAAGAATTTATAGGCCACGCGGGTTACTCCTGACTGATCCGACGACCCGCGGCCTCAGATTAATAGAGATCTCGGTGCTTGACAGGCCCGCGTCGTGACTGCATGTTAGCCGATCCACCGAGATCTTCATGTGACCTTAGTGTGTCTGCCGTTTTTTAAGAAAATGCTGAAAGAAAAAATCCACACGTTTGTGCTTATGGCCGCGTGATGATGTCCCGCAAACTGCCACGCAAATTCTTCTTCCTCTTGGCCGGCGAGACACACCACTTTAAGCGTCGTGATGAAAAAAAATGTTGATCTTTGTTCAAAGTGCGAAGTTTCATCATAAGTGTGAGCATACCGAACCAAATTTAGTTGAAATGCGCTGATGCTTTTGTTTCGTTATTCATACAGCAAGCGTGGTGGCTGCATCATTTAAATGTATGCGTGTAATGTTTATGCCGAATTATATATATAAAAAAAGTTATTACACTAATACAACCAAAGAATAACGTCTATAAGTACTTTTTGTAAAACAATCATTTTGTATAAAGATTGAAATTTGAGAAATGTAACGTAATTATCGTATACTTTGAGTGATCTATACTTTTATATGTGGAATTGTTTTTATGAAATCAATCATGACTATTCCTTAAAATCAAGAACTGTAAAATTGCAGCTGTTGTAGCCACCACGTTAGGGTGACGGATAATCCTACAGTTCACGGTGATCCAACAATGATATCACGTACTTGAATAGCGATTCTTCCAAACATCTGACTTTAATGACTTTTGTATCAAATCTGCCCAAAATTTAAGTGCAATACGGTACTAAATTTTTAAAGCATTCTTGCCTCAAATTTTTTTCCTTTATTTTCGTTAACTGTATAATTGAATTTTTTTGCTTTTTACATCATAGTTGCAAAAAAGAGTGTATTTTTACTATGCATTTACGACAGCACGTATGTTAGTATGTATTGATTTAAGCTTCAAAAAATATTATCAATGTGTATATTGCATTTTATTTTATTTTTATACAAGTGTGAGTAATATAATTATTCTAGATAAAAGTCTGTACAATTCTTCCGAAATTTTATCTTCCGTCGCTCTTATTTTTTTTATAATCGTGGTGAAAGAGATGGTGATGGTGCGATAATAGTATCGTTTTTAATGTATCCGAAAGTAATCTGGAGGAATTGTTTCACTAACAAGGAATTAGGTAATATATGTGTTTGAAATAATCAACTTTTATTAAGACTAATTTTTTTTGTACATCTAGCTTAAAGATCCATGAATTGACTACAAAATTGGGCTTTAACAAAGAAGAGAGTGAATAACGAAGGGCAACTTATTTTATGAAAATCCAAAAATATTGAGCATTCTTGAAACCCTTTAATCAACTTTATTGTAATATCAAGAATTCTAATTTAGATTGCTAATTTCATTTTCTGTATCCGAAAAATACATGAAAATGGGTCAGTATGTTATGTATCATGAAATAATGTTATTATGTATTTATATGTATTATTGGAATTATTATTGTTATTAATGTCATTATAATCTTGCATATATTTATGTATTTATACATGTATATCGTAAAAATAAATTATTTTGCTGTAATTGACTTACAAATATAGAGGCATGACTATTAACTTTGAACAGAAGAAAAATCACATTATTTGTTTACTTTTATATTTGTATAGGAAAATTGTGTTGAAGTGACAACTGTATAGTGGATATTCGAAATTGATACTTTTTAATAAATATTTCAAGAAAATGAAATGCAAGAGAAAGAAAACGAGCTCTTATTAATTTGAAAACTTGATCAAAGCATGATAATGGATGGAATAAATGGAACAAGTATTATGCATTTTGAAATAATATTTTATCTCTATTAAAGAAAAAAGTCTGGATTTTCAGCTAATGTTTATAATAGAATTCGTCAGTGGTCTCATATTCTCTCGAAGATGATTGATCAAGTGAGGGTTTTGAATGTATGTTCACATGACTGATTTTCATGGTATGATTTCATCCATGTATAAAATTTAAAAAAAATCATGTAAAGGAAGAACAGATAAGAGAAGATAATTGTGCGTCACTGCCGTCAGTCATGAGTATATTTTTTTTTTTCGATTTTCATTTGACTTTTGTAACATATTTTGTCCATTTTCAACGTTTGGTTGAGAAATTGAAGTATGTGCTGATTATATGCGTGTACGCCTTGCGTTGCGATGAACTTTAAAATGATCTGGCGAACAAAAGAGCCCAACACATGGATTTCACGAAAAGTACTACGAAATTTTTCAAACAAAGCAAGTTGTACATTTAATTTTCCTATAGGACCAAATAACTCGAGACTTGAAGATTACCGTAAGCGTTGATTGGCGTTTCGAATGTAAGTGTTTTATTAATAAAATCAGCGCAAGTTTGGACGGACTTGCACAAATCATCTTTAGTTGTTTCATTGTTGTTATTTTTGTGGATTAGGTTCGAAGAAAAAAAGTTTTTTAAACGTCAATAGATTTCCAATTCTTATGGATATTTTATTAAGTTTTTTTTATTAGAAAATACAAGAGGGACGCTTTTTGACATCGTCATCCCGATGGTAATAGAGAAAAAGGAGAGGACGAGAATATTTTTGTCAGTTATATTAAAAATTGTATTCACACTTCTCTGGGGACAAGTGCTTTCCTTTATTTACCTTTAACTTAAACGATTTGTTTATACGTCTCACATGCCTTGCACCACGTTTTAATTGACCAAGCAAATTTTTTTTTTTTTTTTTTTCCTTATAATTTGTGAGTGATAAAATTCTGGAATCCATATTTTTTTTTTTAAACACATTCAACCCTACACACTTAATTAAATGATACAAAAAGATTGTCGAAATTCAAACCCACACATCCTACCAGTAGTTGTGTTTTTACATTTTACCAATACAATAAAATATTTATTACTATATTCGCTTTGTGATTCTCTTTATTATATATATATTAATATGTTAATGACTTATATTAAAATTTTTTTTAACGTTTAGTACACACACGCGTAAGTATCTAACAAAATATTCTGACGAATCATTGAGACAAACTATTATGTACACAACACTTTTGTTTAAAAATTGTTTTTGATTAAAAGAAAACAAAAAATTCATCGTATCATCACACAAACTGTTTGTATAGCCTGTTCATTGCACTTTCTTTTATTTAAGATTTTATCCTAAACGATGAGCTTCTCAAACAGTCAATGAAACTTTGAAACTTTTTTTTTTTTTTTTTTTTCTTCATCACTGTACGATTCTCAATTGTACAAATACTTAATTTGTTGGAATGTATTGTTGAAAATTAGGTTTTTCTGTTACATTCCTCCAACAATCAGTTTGGAACGGTTATCGGCAGGTAATTCGTTATTATATAATTTTGAAAATATATATGTATATATCATTTCAGTTTTTACCCTAACTTGTATCATCAAGGCCGTTGGAAACGCTTGTTCTTGAATTTTTTTTTTTTTAGAGTAGCGCATATTTCTCTCGTTGCACTTTATTTGGAATTGCGTATCCCTTTATGAGTACCTATCTTTTATCAATGAAAAAAGCAAAGCCCTGTTTTGGTAAAGTTGACTAAATTCAGGTGTACTAAAAACAATGACCAAAGTTTTAATCTAGTAGTATTTACAAATATTCCTGTACCAACCAAAGTTACTTGACAACTTTTTGCACGTCAATCGCAAGTAAAGCACGTGCTCTTCTCACTCATAAAAACAATTTGTGATTTTTCACCGTAAAAAGTCAGTGTACATTTTGATTTTTTTTTTTTTTTTTTGATAAATTTAATTAGTGTGTGTTAATTTTATGTTGTATCGAATTTTTTGCACATTTCGACTAGTAGGGATACAATTCACAATTCCCACGACTGATGAAGAAATTCACTGTAAAAGTGCTTTTGTAACACGATCTTTACATAATAGCGTACAATTATCTTTGATATTAATGATTCAGTAACACGAAAAACAAAAAAAAAAAAAAAAAAACGAAGAAATTTCATACGTACATCATGTATATGCGTCGAGAGGGGAAAAAAAAAAAAAAAAAAAAAACCAATATCATTCTAAAGCTGGACAATCGGTGTACATACTTTCCGTTGGCTCATCTCCAACGGGCCATCGGGAGAGCTCATCGTAGCTCGAAGGGGGGTGGGATTTACTCAGGTATGCTCTCGAGGTTCGACGAGGTCAGCCGTCATATGAGCATGCACAGCTTGTTCCGGCTCTTGCGCTCCGACACGGCGGACCCCTTGGCGCTACCCTTCGCAGTGGCAGCTGCTGTGGCACCGGTAGTCGCCGTTGTCTTCGTCGTGGCGGCTACAGCCGTAATCGCCGCGTCCTCGGAACTGGTCTTCGAGTATAGGGACCGGCTCAACCGGCTGCGCACCCCCTTGCTCAGAGTCCTGCCACCCTTGCGCAGCGATGCAAACCTACCCAGCGACGATTTGGCCCCGTAGTGCGGCAGCTGTACGTGAGAAACAAACGCATGACGACATTGAAACGAGAGGGAGGAGGGGAAGCACATCGCGTACCGCGTCGGTCGGCTTCTTGTCGGCGTGGTGGGCGGTGCAGTTGAGGGTGGTGACGGTGAACTCGATGTCCTTGGGCTCGGTCGAGACGAACTCCTCGACGGGCTCCTCTATCTCGTCCCTGTCGATCCACGTGAGGCCCATCTCGACCTTCTCGGCCAAGTCCTGCCAGTGCTTGCGGTTGTCGAGGGTGCCGTCGTACAGGGGCTGGATCCAGGGAAACGTCTCGGAGAGGACCTTGTACAGGGGCAGGCAGATCACGTCGATGAAGCCGACCTGCATCTGGGGCAGTTCGTCTCGGCGCTCGCGGTCCATCATAGCCACGGGTTGCTGGTTCAGCTGGAGCCGCTCTAGGTCGCCTTGGTCGAAGAACTCGTCCGCCACGAGCTTGGCCACCCGGTGCTGGATCTCCCAGGGCTTCGAGATCGCGCTCACGTCGCAGGCCGTCATCATTATCCCGCAGAGCACTTTGTTCACCATTCATTTTTTTTTTTAGTTTAATTTATTCATTTATTGTCTCCCCTTTCTCTCGAGTCGCGCTGTTTTTGGGTTCCCTACCCGCGTGAATAAACCACGAAATTAACAGTCCCGGCGCGTACTCGGCGATCGATATTGCCCCGTGTGTGCGTGCAGTCCCCCACCCCCCTCACCTTTCCTCGTCCATCCAAAACAACCGCAAAAAAATGTTTAAACGTATCGTCGTGTAATTTACGAAAGCCACGCATTGGGCGCAACGCGTCTCGAAAGTGTGTGTATAGGTGTACATGATACAGTGGGTATATATACTCACGTTCCTTCTTCTCCTCGCTCTGCCAGTCGAACTCGCCCTCCTCGATGAGCTGTAAAATACACCCAAGCACGATATATTTGTAAAAGCTATGATGCATTTGAAAAACCGTAAATATTACCTCCATGAATCGGTTCCTCTTTTTGAAGTAGACCGCGAGATCCGTCGATAGTATCGCGTTCTCGACGACCCTCATGACGCGCCGGTAGTCCTCCATCGCGAGGTTCTGGAATATGTTGTTGCTGTCCGAGTTGAGTATCATGACGCATTGGTCGAAGTGATGGTGCTCCATGGTGCTGGTCGAGTAGAGTATCGCCAGGGGCGACTCCGTCTTTGTCTGGAAGGCGTTGTTCGTGCCCCGGTGGTCGAGATCGTGGCATCTGTACGCGCGCAGATTTCACGTATATATAGGAGTAGAGTTGTTTTTCGACGCTTTGGCGGGTGTTTCGGTTAATTACTTACAGACAAGCCACCAGTAACCCGAACATGTCTATGTCCTCCATGAACTGCTCCATCTTTCCCGTCTTGAGCATCGCGAACATCGTCTGCGCCACGTTCAACGCGTGCCTCCAGTTGTGGTACTTTACTGGCCTGCGTACACACAAAGTTTCGAGGTTTTTTTTTTTGTTTTTTTTTTTTTTTGTTTACTCGTGAATGCTCGACGGGGAAATTGCACGTCATCGAAGACACAAACCAGACTGATTTATCACATCACCGCCCCTTCCTCACGCGTTCCCGAAGAAAAAAAAAAAAAAAAAAAAAACGACTTCTAGGAGTGTGTGTGTATACCATCGACGATCGATTATGCTAAACTCCCTAATGTCAAGCGACAAGTTCATTCCCGTGGCGCCGCTGGAACGCACGTCATTTGTAAAAAGGAAAGAAAAATTTAACTTTCAAATGGAGCCAATGCATTTAAATTCACGATGAAGCTCCCGTCTGACCGTACCCGGTGATTACTACTTAAAATAGGGTGTGCTGCCATGTACGTATACCTGTAGTTCTTCTTGACGCTGAGTATCCACCTGCAGAGCACGTCGTAGGGCACGTGAAACTTGTTGATGAGGTCGAGGCTCTTGAACATCTGTATGGTGGCCCGGCAGGTGTCCTCGTCCGTGAGATCAAAGTCGATGAACATGAAGCTGTACAGGTTGTACTGCTCGGCGGGCCGTATCTCGTCGGACATGAGTCTGAGGGCGTCATCGTTGGTAGCCGTCGCGTGGTAGCTGAGACACTCGAGAGCGACCTTTTGCTTGGCCATCAGCTTGCACGCCGACTCGTACATTTGGGTGTTGTGGATGCCCAGGCCGCAGAATATCGCGAACGCCTCGAATACATCGATGTCCTGTGCAAAAAAAAAAGCAATGGCACAAGGGTCGAGAGATATATATATAAAAAAAAAAAAAANGGGTGGGACACTCGGCTTAAGCTGCAAATCAAGATTTATCGTGAAAGTGCGCGACGCGGGAGACAACACTTTGCAAGATTACCTTTTTTTTTTTTTTTTTTTTCTCAAAAGAGTCGGGGATTTCGTTGTTTGCGCGCTCACGAAGCCGGGGTGATTAAAGTCAAGCTCTCGAGGCAGGGACAAATGACAGGTAATTAGTTGCAGAAGCGCCGCTGACGCGATCAAGTGCACGATTGATGAAATATTTTGCCGAGTAAGTTATACATTTGGGGAGAAAAACAAAACGAAAAATTCATGCTATAGAAGGGATGAAATTTAAAAAAAAGCGAGGGTAAAAAAAATTCTCTCCATAAATATGGTGTACACAATCATCGCGCGATTTCACTCGCGTACGATGCAGTATGGTATCGACTACTCCGTTTTTCCAAGTATCAGTATCGAGCGCTCGTAACCGGAGCACTTACGAGTACAATAACCTGCTGAGTGTAAAAGGATCGACCGGTACGCGAGGGGGTAATAATAATACCAATTACCCGTAAATCGACGTGTACAGGTACCCATATATCTACTGGTCGTGCAGCAAAGAATCGCGTGAAAAATTCAAGTGAATCGTTTATATAGATGGTGATGGTCACGCGTACCTTGTAGGCGTCCTTGATGTTGATGGTCTGTTTGCTCTGGGCCACGTAGCCGGCGATGCCGACGCCAAAGGGTATGCGTATCTCCTCGGTGTGGGCGCGTTGGACGGCCTCCTCGAACTCGGTGTCCTGGGTGACGTCGAAGAGCTTGGCCACGAGGTAACGCGCCTCCAACGGGCCCTTGGCCAGGAACAAACTGCCCCGGTCGGCGTGGGTCAGTATACCCACGTTAACCAGTATCTTGTGGCAGAGGACGTTTATGTCGAGCTCGTTCGCCACGTCCCGAATCAGCTCCATGAACAGGTCGTTCTCGTCCAGCTTGTTCAGCTCCTCCCTGCGGCTCAGCAGCGAGCTCGACGATCTGACCGCGGTATTTTTACACGTATGCAACGACGACGTAGCAACAACACAAACACACCCCCGTCTATTTTTTTTTTTTTTTTCGTCGATCGCTGGTTTACGTGGTGGCATACTTCGAGAGATCGAAGCAACTAACTAATTGGTACAATAATTTTTATGATTCTAAGAGTGAGGGAAAAAGATTTTGTCTCTGTAACGGTTTTTTTCATGCCTGTTTCAAATTAGGTGGCTGTTTCTTTCAATCGAACCGTCGATGAGCTATCTAATCTTCGGTACACGTGTAGGATGGGCAGCCCTAATGTGTATGTTCCTGTTATCGACCGTACGGGCTAATGTATAAAAGTGATAGAGAGATTGTGATGTTTGTTGTGTGTGAAAAAAAAAAAAAAAATACAATAAATGCGTGCAAAACTCAGGCCCTCGATAACAGAGATAAAAGTTGATTGTTGGGCCAGATATATATATAAAAAAAAAAAAAAAAAACACAACTCACCGAGTCGGTGAAAGAGAAGCCGTTGTCCTTGTTTATCAGCTGGGCGACCCCGATGACGGAGCGCTGGCCGTTGACGATGGGCATGCAGAGTATGCTGCGCGTCGGCTCGACGCCTACCTGGAACACCTGGCGCCGCGACCACGAGGCCACGTCCCCGATGTTGAGGATCTGGCCCGTCGCTGCCACGTAGCGCGCTATCCTGCCCAGGGGACTCGTCAGGTCGCCGTTCGTCGGCCGATAGACCTTGGCCTCTTGCGTCTCGTTCTCCATCTCGAAGACCATCGTGAACTTGCTGCTCTCGCCTGCCTGCTGCTTTCATCGCCGACGTTATTCGTATAACGCGAACGGGGATGCAACATACAATCAGACTTGGGCACTAATACTTTTTCTCCATTTTTTGCTTAAAGTGTGTAATGGCATTTGTGTACGCCAGAAACAAATTTTTTTTCAATGCCAAAACAAGAGTGCGTTACAATTTTATAGGAAAAAAAAAAAAAAATTGTTTTAACCACTTGATTTTTACGGTACTTTAAGATGGGCTTTAATACATCTACAAAAATGTAATAAGCATAATAATATCGTCTTGTGAGTAGTGACGAACAAAAATAATAATTGTGCCCGAATCTGATAATTATCATCGATTGGAGTATATTTAGATTACACTCACGTGTTGCTGCAGGATGTCCTCCATCTCGATGTTGTTGCTCTAAACGGTGAAACCAGAGGGTTACGAAAAATGTGCCAAAGTAAATTATAACGGCGATAAACTCACTTCTCTCCTCGAGAGCGGCTTCCGCGACTCCTGGATGGACTTGCCCGGCCTCTCGACGATTTTTTCCAAGTGACCCTGCACCGAGAGTCCCCCCCAAAGACACCTTTCTCGTTAGACCGAGAGAGGAAAAAAACAAAACGAAAATATAGGGAAAAATAATGATTGTTTACCGCCTCGCCGCAGTCGAGATCGAGCAGGTAAACGGCGCAGCGCTCGCACTTGAGGAGGTCCTTGGCCTCGGTCATGATCTTGGTGACGAGGCACTCGAGGTTGTTCTGCTCCTCGAAGATGCTGCGCGCCAAGTTAAGGAGGATCTGGTTGCGCCGGTACTCCAGGACCGACAGCTCGAACAACTGGGCGTTTTGGATCCCGATGCCGCAGAAGGTCAAGTAGCGCTGGAACACCTCGACGTCGCGCTCCGTGAACTCGTGGCTGCCGTTCGTCTTGTTGATTATCTGCGCCACGCCTATCACGTCCCCATCGTAGTTGCAGATCGGCATCGACAGGATCAGCGTCGTCTTGTACCCCGTGCGCATGTCGATCGCGCTGTTGAACCGGGGATCCTAGGGTGACAGTTTTTTTTTTTTTTTTTTTTTCCATACGAAACTCTTTTCTAACAATTCACTTCGCTGTAGCGGCGCGCGGAGGGTGGGACACTCGGCTTAAGCTGCAAATCAAGATTTATCGTGAAAGTGCGCGACGCGGGAGACAACACTTTGCAAGATTACCTTTTTTTTTTTTTTTTTTTTCAAAAAAGAGTCGGGGATTTCGTTGTTTGCGCGCTCACGAAGCCGGGGTGATTAAAGTCAAGCTCTCGAGGCAGGGACAAATGACAGGTAATTAGTTGCAGAAGCGCCGCTGACGCGATCAAGTGCACGATTGATGAAATATTTTGCCGAGTAAGTTATACATTTGGGGAGAAAAACAAAACGAAAAATTCATGCTATAGAAGGGATGAAATTTAAAAAAAAGCGAGGGTAAAAAAAATTCTCTCCATAAATATGGTGTACACAATCATCGCGCGATTTCACTCGCGTACGATGCAGTATGGTATCGACTACTCCGTTTTTCCAAGTATCAGTATCGAGCGCTCGTAACCGGAGCACTTACGAGTACAATAACCTGCTGAGTGTAAAAGGATCGACCGGTACGCGAGGGGGTAATAATAATACCAATTACCCGTAAATCGACGTGTACAGGTACCCATATATCTACTGGTCGTGCAGCAAAGAATCGCGTGAAAAATTCAAGTGAATCGTTTATATAGATGGTGATGGTCACGCGTACCTTGTAGGCGTCCTTGATGTTGATGGTCTGTTTGCTCTGGGCCACGTAGCCGGCGATGCCGACGCCAAAGGGTATGCGTATCTCCTCGGTGTGGGCGCGTTGGACGGCCTCCTCGAACTCGGTGTCCTGGGTGACGTCGAAGAGCTTGGCCACGAGGTAACGCGCCTCCAACGGGCCCTTGGCCAGGAACAAACTGCCCCGGTCGGCGTGGGTCAGTATACCCACGTTAACCAGTATCTTGTGGCAGAGGACGTTTATGTCGAGCTCGTTCGCCACGTCCCGAATCAGCTCCATGAACAGGTCGTTCTCGTCCAGCTTGTTCAGCTCCTCCCTGCGGCTCAGCAGCGAGCTCGACGATCTGACCGCGGTATTTTTACACGTATGCAACGACGACGCAGCAACAACACAAACACACCCCCGTCTATTTTTTTTTTTTTTTTCGTCGATCGCTGGTTTACGTGGTGGCATACTTCGAGAGATCGAAGCAACTAACTAATTGGTACAATAATTTTTATGATTCTAAGAGTGAGGGAAAAAGATTTTGTCTCTGTAACGGTTTTTTTCATGCCTGTTTCAAATTAGGTGGCTGTTTCTTTCAATCGAACCGTCGATGAGCTATCTAATCTTCGGTACACGTGTAGGATGGGCAGCCCTAATGTGTATGTTCCTGTTATCGACCGTACGGGCTAATGTATAAAAGTGATAGAGAGATTGTGATGTTTGTTGTGTGTGAAAAAAAAAAAAAAAATACAATAAATGCGTGCAAAACTCAGGCCCTCGATAACAGAGATAAAAGTTGATTGTTGGGCCATCTACAACTTATAAATAAATGAAGCTTTTATATTTTGAGATAGTAAAAATTGATCGAAAAAAAAAAAAGAAATTTTATTTCACCATTTGAAGAAAACATATACAAAGAACTTTTTTTTAACAGTTCAGAATTTTGTGGAATCATTCGAAATGAAAAAAAAATTCCTACTCAATAATGATAAACTTCTGATGGAGTTACGGCCGAGCTGGCACTCTGAACTATATGACCTGAAGTGATGACGTTTTATTGTACCAAAGTGTCGATATACACTACATATAGATAGATGTATCAATTTCAACAGCTTCGGATCGCTCAAAGAGCTCCAGAAGGAAAACTCCCTCATCAAACAAATCCAACATAAGCTGAAAATCACGTGTCTAGTTTCCGAGGCAGGAAAGCCAATAGGAGCGATGTCAATTTAAAATTTTTGTATGATATCGCATGAGCTGCTTAAGGGAAATATTGAACTTGATCGAAGACTCGTATGGGTGTGTACTTTGTTAGTTTTTCCAATCTCCAGAATTTAGGGGGGTGTGGATTTTAGCTGCATCACAATGATGAAATCTTCACAGAGGTACTTATACACGTGTGGCGTGGTGTAGTGTGTTGTGACTCGCGCGAGTGTGAGAGACACGAATGGTGGAAGAGAAAGAGGGAGATAATCCACAGGGCTCGGGAGGTCTCACGTCGGGGCGACACACGATGCCTGTACCGATTGATAAATCCAATCGAGGGGAAATCGACGATTAGCTATTTCGCGTGTGCTTTACGTCAATTGATTCTTATTTTTTAAATATTTTGCAATGAAATTTATTAAAAATTAAAAAAAAAAAAAAACAACCATGTATCTTTGACGAAGAAGACTCGAGTAAAGTTGTATAGTGTCGTATAGGGCCTTTCTCGTTTACACTGTCACCCGATACCCCGACTCGATGCGATATCCTACGGTGTCTCGTCCACAAGTGGAACATATATTTATACTCGAGTAACCATATTTCGCGGGGTCTCGTTTGATTGACGGATCATTATCTTGATCGAATATTCCCTCGAGGGACATCATTCTGATGTCGCTGGCAACAATGTAATCGTTTTCAAATCGAATTACTGATTACCCGTTCTCCCTACGTTTTTTACGCTCCATTACGCAGATGAGGTGTTTTTCCAAATTTTCGTGCGTCGAGAAGAAATTGTCTTTAAAACGCCGTGACGGTGCGTGTTATTTACTTAAAAATCTCTTGTTCAATGGCTTAGCTTGAACGTGCGCGAAAAACACCCTCTCCGCTTAGTATATATATATATATATATATATATACCGCGTGGGAACATGAAAGAAGAGGAGTGGCTCCGGGAGAGAGAGAGAGTGAGTGACAAGCGCGCGTGGAAAAATTGAGAGGTTGCGTCGAGGGGTAGCCGCACGCACACACCGTACCACCGCTGAATATCGAGAGTGTATTGTTGTATGCCAGCGTTATTATTTTTCGCAGCGACGTATGGACTCTGCTCTTATTTATTGGCCCGGAAAACGAGCGGCGCGTATTTTTTGCCCGACAAAAAATATACGCGTCGAAACCACAGTGAATAATATTGTGTATGTATATATATACATACGGGTGTTCCTCCCCTCTGACGATAAAAATTTAATGGCACGTCGAACGCCGACAAAGAAAAATATTTATAAAATCGAGCCGTCTCCCTTTCGCCGGGGCTATCGACGTTTTCCTGTAATTGCCGTTCTGAAAAAAAAGTGAGCTTGGAAATCCCGAAAGATTCACGAACAAATCCATTGTTTCATTTTCTTTTTAATTGGCCATTTGTACTTTGTCAAATGTATTGTCGTGTCCCTCGCTAAGCGAAGACTTCGAGTAAAAGAAAAATCACGTCGCTCCATCGACTTATTGTCTCGCTGTAATGGACACTCACAAATGAAATTTTATCAATAGAAAAAGCACAAAAGATATTTCGGTGTTTATTTATCTAGACATTTTTAGATAAACGATGGTTGGATGGATCATTTTTTTTTTTCTCGTTTTTTCTTGACCTTGTACAGTAGTGAGTAAAGGTTGCAAAATGTCAAAATAATTGTACGGATAATAAACTTGGAATCTAAATCTTTCTCATGATTTTTTAGCTGATAAAAGGCATAAATCATAATAACACGAATTTCCACATCAATTTTGCTAAGGAATAAACCCTACGGAAAATACCCACTACTTGTAATTTAAAAAAAAAAAAATACCTTGATCATCACCCCAACGGAAGCTAGCAGAGAAAAGTTTCTCGGGAGGAAAACTCGATAACTGCAATTTCGTTTTGCTACGCACCGGGGCTGTAACGCGAGTTGTTGTAACTCGTTTCCGAGAAGGCCCTCGGCACGCCAATGAAAAACACAGTTCGAAAAACAGACAAGCCCCAGTAAAGGAAGAACTTTTTTTTTCTTCAAACAGCTCGGACAAAAGCAAAAAAAAAAAAAAAAAAAATAGGGGCGGGATTGTTGTTGTTGTTGCTCACACAAAAGCAATAAAACACAGAGGTGGAGTAAGGGGGCTCACCTGCTGGGGCTGCGACTGCGCTTGACGGGCGAGTTGGAGGCGAGCCAGGACTGAAACAAGTCGGAGGTGATGCTGTTACGCTTGCTCCGGCTGAGCGCGCTCTCTTCGTGCTGGAGGCTCGTCGAGGAGGACTTGCTCGTCGCGAGACAGCACGCCTGCAGCCGCAGCTTCAGCTCTGGGCTCGCGTTCTCCCGGATCCAGGCCTCGGCCAGCCCCGCGTTCGCCTCCAGGTACCTGCCGACCGCGTCCATGTCGAGCTCCTCGTCGCGCCGGATGGGCTCCTGGCAGGACAGCCGCTTCGCTCGACTGATCCTTGGTACCCCGTCAAAGCCGAGCTCCTCCTCCCCCCTCTCGAGGCCCTCGCCCGGAGGTGGGCTCGGCCGCGACGACGAGCGCTGCAGCGAGCACTGCACCCTGGCCGCTACCTTCACCGTATCCGTGCTCTGGCGGTGCTGCCGGTGGCTGCTGCTGTCGAGGCTCACCTGTGCATGTCGCGCCTGATTTGTCAAATTATCGTGAAAACCCGCATGGCTGTGTGTCGTAAGTAAGTACCTCGTTCATCGCCGCCGAGTCCTCGTCCTGCTCGTCCCCGGCTTCCATATCACCTGCAGCCGACCGGCAGTGCTCTCGACATGGTATTACTTTTTCCGCGCAGTCTTTTCTCTGGGGGGTGCGGTGATCAGCTCGGGCCAAGCCTCCGGCGCCGCGGACGCCTCCTCATTATTCAGGCTCCGTGGGGGTGGCTGGTGGTGGCGTTGTCGGGGCGATACCAGGCCTTTCGAGCTACTTCCACCTCTTGGCCGCCGATGATGCCTCGTTTTTTGCTTTTCTCATTTGTCTCCGAGGCTCGTGTGGAATTTCAATGGATCCTTCGGCCGACGCTGCCACCTCGACTGGAAGTAACAAGAGAATTCCCTTTCGTGACGTGAAAGCTCAAGTTCTCATCGTTCGGGGGGACGGAACTTTTCCCACTGGAGTTGAGAAACCACAGGGTATACGCGGCTATTGACCAAGACGCGTTGTTCAATCTAGCCCCCATGTTTTTTTTTTTTTTTTTTTTTTTTTTTTCATCATACATTGTGTATGGGTATAGGTGCGATTGGTTTGACGTGTGTATAAAAATACCTTGGGCATTCCCATCGTAGTGTCATCGAGTTCATCAACCATTCCAATGAATGGTTATAAAGGTATTAACTACAATCGATCAATACGGTTGCTCAGTTTAAACGTTAATTATAGTACTCTCTTGACGCGAATGGAAAGAAAAAAAATTTCAGTGAATCGTATTTTCTACTGCAGCGCGATCAAACTGATTTTAGGTTTTTACGACCTCGTTTTAATTATTTTCACTCCAAACGAGTGGACTGCCGCTTCGAGAGAGCACTCGATTGAACACCGTGTACAGCCGAAGAGCCGGTCTGACGTAAAAGCCTCTTTACTACTTGCAGGTACGCACACCAGTATATCCACCGTCATTTGATAATTTGAAAAAAAAAAAAAAAAAAACGTGATCGCAGCTAATAAACAGTATAGCCACGTATAGTTGGGTCCGTTCAATTACCTGTTAATAACCACGGCTGAAATCCAGTGCCTTTCCCTAGTAACGAGCTCACACGAGCAAAAGGGACACGCGCGCAGAGGGGAACGGGTACACATGTATGTCCATACATACTCCCCCCGAGTGGCACGAGGATACAAATACAGACAACCGTATAAAAGACAGTGAAAGTAGCCGGTCCGCGGAGGCCAACGGCCGGGGTAAAAGCTTCCCCGGCGCGCTGGCGTCTGTCCCCCGTATTTTCGATCGACAGGAGACGCTTTGGCTCGCTCGCAAAAGTCGGATACGCCAGGGAGATTGAAATTCCAAGACGCGTTCGAGCTGATACGAGGACACGGAATATATATACTCGTGCGGTCTCGGCGCGGGAATTTGCATCCACGTATACAGTCCTCGACCTCGTCTGCCTCTGTGCGGCAAATCAGATTCCGTCCGGACGCGAATGGTCTTCTCTTGTTTCCCTCCCCTCGAGTCAAGGTAGTTGTATCCCTCCCTGTGGTAAAAAAAAAAAAAAATAAAAAAAAAATAACGTACTATTATGTATAGAATGGCATACGACAACTACAGGTGTTGCGTCAATTCGAGATGACTATACGATGTTGCTTTGTTTCTGTCTCGTAAAAGTCGGGGGGAGACATTGACATATCGTCTTCTTCCCTTCTCGAAAGTGTCATTTGCATTCACTGATCGAGCTTTCGATAACTGTAACTCAATAATTTTAGAGAGACATAAATCCTTCAAAAAGTGTATGTGTTTTCGGTGGGCTATCGCCACGACTCCAATGTTAAAATGAGGTTGAAATTATGATTTTTGACGAGTGATGTAAAAAAATACCTATTTAAAATTTTCCTTGTCTATTACCCATACTTGTTTTTCTATTGGGTGATCCCAAAGTTACATTAGCTTTTCATTATGTCTTTGGTTTAGGATACAAGCACACCTACGTGTCTCGACACGCATTGTTCGGACGCCCCTGAGGGAGACGTGCGCAATTAGAGAAGGTGGCGTGCGCGCGACGGGCCACGCTTTCCTTAACCGACGCGGTAACGAAAACTCGCGGTGTTGCTTCCCTTCGTTTGGTCGATACTCGTATACACACGTACAGCTCGGAGTAACCGGCCAAACTTGATTGTATATTATTAACCAGTTCACTCCTGCACCTTTAAAAAGGAAAATTAAAGGGTGACTTGGAGTTTCCTTTAATTTTCCGCTCCGACGAAGGTACATGATCGCGCGCAGCCGACGTCGCGCCCGTTTAATCGAGCGAAAAATTGCAAAACTAATCACCAAAGAGGAATCTTGTAGTCTTTGTTGGGCCGGAGGATAATAAGATTGTGGAACAAAGTGGAGAGCGGCGCCAAGTAATGAAGGGGGGGGGGGTGGAACCTGAGAGTCTCCAGGGAGGGAAAAGGGCTAAATCAGGGGCGCGTGCGGGTGTAACGTATACAGCGACCCTGCGATATCTGGCGCGTGTCGAGTGGGCGGGAAAAGGGACTGGTAATCGGCGACGGCTGTACGACTACGAAAGGAGGCGCAACCCGATAATGACTGCGAGACGGATGAATAATTGGTCGGCGCACCCGTGACTGATCCAGCGTCCGTCAACGTCGCGTATAACGATGCCGTCGGATGATACAGCAAAGTGGAGGGGAGAGAGAGTGGCAGCGGAAAGCATGCGTAATTATGCACTTGTATAATTCAGGCCTCGGTGTATACGAGTGGGCTTCGTTAAGTGACGTTCCCACGGCGACAAAACGGGGAGCCCTGGAGTGTGACTCTGAGATTTTTTTGAGCCTTTCGAGCGCAGTTCTGAACTTTTAACCTTACCTTCTTTCCGGCGCTATCCTCCTGGATTTGAGTGGCATGAAAAATTTCAACGCGTTAATCGATTACGAAACTCGTGGATACAAGCGAAGCTCCGAGCTGTATTTTTAGTGCTTTCACCGCAAGCCCTCTGTGGTATACATTTTTGTGTACACTGATTTCTCGCGCTAAAATATCAGGATCCTCGAAATATAACTAACTGGTTAAGGTTGTAAAGTAAAATTGGATTTATCCCTGGGATGCGCGCAAATGTAAATATTTAACCGGTGGATCGCTAAAAAAGTCCCGACTCGCGTCCCTCTCTGCCGATTCCATTTGATATTCTAATGGAAAACGTCACTCGGGGAAAAACCCGTAGCGTAGATTATGCGCTTTTTTTTATACGAGCACTTTTAATTTTAGCTCCGGTGCCTCAGCAAAACTATACAAAGGAAAAAATGGGGGGGGAAAAAAAAACCAAAGCGATGCGTTTTTGAGGTCGTCCCACAAGGCCTGATGGACTTTTTTATCGCCATCGATTATCCGCGACTTTTGCGGTGGTTTAAAAAAAATCGCTTTTATTACCCGGCGATGTATATTAAAAAAGAGACGCACCTCTGTATCGATATCGTCGTTCAATTTCACCGACTCGGGACGTTTCGTCGCCCGCTCAAAGGTAAATAGATCCTGCTACTTTTATACTTTTCTCCACACATAATACAATGTTTGCCTCTCATTGCAAAGTCATTTCGCAACTTTGTACTGATAATAACCTTCATATTCTAGTGAAAAACAAAAGGCAAACTCGATTGGCTATACTCCCTACAATGCCATTAACAGGAACGGGGCGAGCAGAGGGGGAAAAAAAACACAACTTTTCAGAGCTCGTTAGCGAGGGGGTTGAGCCCCTTTTGGTTTCGGATGTACGTAATTATAACGCGGTGGAAACTCGAGGCGCTCGAAAACTCGACTCAGGGGGGGGGGGGCTCGGAATATCGATGCTGCTAATTAAACGCGGGGGCACAGAGAGCAGGTGCTCTTTTAACCAGCTATGCGCCGCGATCGCGAGCACAAGCCGAAGAAGAAGAAGAAGCTGTCGAGAGAAGGAAGGGGATCGCTCTCACCTTCGCCTCCTTTTCCGTGAACTCTGCGCGTTATACCCACGCGTATACCAGCGCACGAAGCCCCAGGCTGTACGGGGGAGTGTAAGATGCAGCTGGGGGAGACTTTGCTTCTGGCGTGTAATCGCCGGTTATGGACGAGTGGCTGGGAACAAGAGCGCCCCTGGCCTCGGGACACCGAGATGGACGCTCAAAAGAGCCATTATTTTTCTCTGGTGTTTATTTCGTGCTACGTGCCGTGAAAAATACCGAGACTACAAATTAATATCCGTTTCCAACCAGTGGTGGACAAATCAAGTGCTCCGCGATTATTCGCAAACGACGGCGATTCCCGTGAGCGCATAGGCCGTGGAATCACTGCTCCAATTATCGATCGGTCCGTAAGTGCGGCTAACAGCCTCGGCCGAACGTTTCTACCACCAGTGGCTGTTTGCATCCAGCTCCGAGTCTACATCTGTGAACTTTGTAAATTTTTAAATCATCAGCGATGAAAGTATACCTAAACTTTGTAACTTGACGTTAATGGCCCACGGCTTACAGTATATAAACGGAGCCAGAGTTTTCCGATGAAAAAAACAAGAGGACCCGCGTGAAAGCTGAAAAAAAAAAGTGAAGAAGAGAGGGTCGCCGGAATAATGGATAACGTTTGCGCTCGGGCGTGTAGCTGCTAATGGATCTTCCGAGAGGGCAATAAATTGTTGAAAGATGCAAACCTATCGTACACGTGAAAGCTCGAAAGTCGAGCTGGAGTATAGGCGAACAATTAATGTTTATATCCCTTTACTGTTCTATGCGAGGGTGTGTGCACACGCGTGGCGTCAACTTCGGCGAAGAAACTCGATTTCCCCGTATATACTATACATAGCTCGAGACCTCGTGCGACGCGAAGGAAGCCGCCCTCCCGGGAAATGCATCGGTAATTGCTCCCAGCGATGCACGCCGTATACAATATAACCGTTGTATGGATGGAAGTACAATAGGTGCTCTACTCCCCCCCCCCCTTGCATGTATATATACATTTATTGCGTAACGCAAGGGGAGCGTGCAACCTTATATACGTGGGGCTCTTTGCTTTGCGGGCGAATCGAGTTACGGAGGCTTGATTGAAAACACGATCGCGGCGTTGGGGACTTGCTCCTTTATTCCACCCCCGACGCCTATATCTTTTCTCTCGGTTTGATTTAAATGTTTATTGCTTCACGAGAATCCTGCTTTTTTTTTTTCATCCAAGACCAAAAGTCCCAATGGAACGAAAGGAAATCGTTTAGACCCTACGGTCGGACGTTTATGCAGCGCGTGTGAGAGTTTGTTTGTCGGGTGGATTTGCACCTTCGTCGAACGGGATGACTTCATAGGTCGAGATTTCGTGCGCCGCATAAACGAAGAGAGTGCACGAGGGAGAAAAAAAATGTATGCGTTCACGACAGGGTATTGGTATGGGGGGTGGAGGGGGGGGGGGCAGACCGCGGTAGATAAATGGACGGCGACATTAACGAGCGGCGATTTTTCTTGCCTGGCTGCAGACTCGTTGTATATACATGCAAAAACATACGGTAAAACGAGAGAGAGGGGGGAGATCGAGCTTATGCACGATTCGTATCACGGACGCAGGTGATTGACGACGGTGCGCTCGAGCGCGAAAACCCTCGTCACTTTTTTTTTTTTTTTCACGAATAATCATCCGTTTTATAGACTTATTTTACTTTTAACGCTGGAAAACTGAGGTGCCTAAAGTATACGTGGAGAGAAAAATAATACTACGCATAAAAATTGTAAATTTCAGGAAATGTTATCACAAATCGTCGGAATCAAAATTACTGTTTGAATGGTAAAAATTGTAATATAAATGGTAACAAAATTACTGGTTTGTAACCTCGATTTGACTTAAATTACAAAAATGGAGAGTGAGGTTTTTTTCTCTTTTGTCAACTTTGTTGTGCAAAGCAGTAATTTTCACTGAAATTTATCTGTAATTTCCATAGTTTTTTTTTTTTTTTTTTTTTTTTTTTTTTTTTTTCTTGGTGTACAGCGTTAGACTGACTACGCGATACCATGTGTAACTACCATGGCATATCGTATGCAACGAGCCCCCGAGGGACTGGATTAGCCGATCGCGTGCGAGCCGCGGCGCAGTAGAACGAGACCGGCTTCGGTCAGACGTGCTCGATCCACGTATGTATTATTTCTGCCTACACTTTTCGCTGGAAATTCGTTTTGCTCGTGCTAATAAAGAGAGCCCTGTATCTGTTTTCGAATCTTTGTCTGCTTCGTATTATGTGTTTTTTTTTTTTTTTTTTTTTTTTTTTTTTTTTTTTTTTCTTTTTTATTAATATAAAAAAAAAAAAAAAAAAATAGGGGCGGGATTGTTGTTGTTGTTGCTCACACAAAAGCAATAAAACACAGAGGTGGAGTAAGGGGGCTCACCTGCTGGGGCTGCGACTGCGCTTGACGGGCGAGTTGGAGGCGAGCCAGGACTGAAACAAGTCGGAGGTGATGCTGTTACGCTTGCTCCGGCTGAGCGCGCTCTCTTCGTGCTGGAGGCTCGTCGAGGAGGACTTGCTCGTCGCGAGACAGCACGCCTGCAGCCGCAGCTTCAGCTCTGGGCTCGCGTTCTCCCGGATCCAGGCCTCGGCCAGCCCCGCGTTCGCCTCCAGGTACCTGCCGACCGCGTCCATGTCGAGCTCCTCGTCGCGCCGGATGGGCTCCTGGCAGGACAGCCGCTTCGCTCGACTGATCCTTGGTACCCCGTCAAAGCCGAGCTCCTCCTCCCCCCTCTCGAGGCCCTCGCCCGGAGGTGGGCTCGGCCGCGACGACGAGCGCTGCAGCGAGCACTGCACCCTGGCCGCTACCTTCACCGTATCCGTGCTCTGGCGGTGCTGCCGGTGGCTGCTGCTGTCGAGGCTCACCTGTGCATGTCGCGCCTGATTTGTCAAATTATCGTGAAAACCCGCATGGCTGTGTGTCGTAAGTAAGTACCTCGTTCATCGCCGCCGAGTCCTCGTCCTGCTCGTCCCCGGCTTCCATATCACCTGCAGCCGACCGGCAGTGCTCTCGACATGGTATTACTTTTTCCGCGCAGTCTTTTCTCTGGGGGGTGCGGTGATCAGCTCGGGCCAAGCCTCCGGCGCCGCGGACGCCTCCTCATTATTCAGGCTCCGTGGGGGTGGCTGGTGGTGGCGTTGTCGGGGCGATACCAGGCCTTTCGAGCTACTTCCACCTCTTGGCCGCCGATGATGCCTCGTTTTTTGCTTTTCTCATTTGTCTCCGAGGCTCGTGTGGAATTTCAATGGATCCTTCGGCCGACGCTGCCACCTCGACTGGAAGTAACAAGAGAATTCCCTTTCGTGACGTGAAAGCTCAAGTTCTCATCGTTCGGGGGGACGGAACTTTTCCCACTGGAGTTGAGAAACCACAGGGTATACGCGGCTATTGACCAAGACGCGTTGTTCAATCTAGCCCCCATGTTTTTTTTTTTTTTTTTTTTTTTTTTTTCATCATACATTGTGTATGGGTATAGGTGCGATTGGTTTGACGTGTGTATAAAAATACCTTGGGCATTCCCATCGTAGTGTCATCGAGTTCATCAACCATTCCAATGAATGGTTATAAAGGTATTAACTACAATCGATCAATACGGTTGCTCAGTTTAAACGTTAATTATAGTACTCTCTTGACGCGAATGGAAAGAAAAAAAATTTCAGTGAATCGTATTTTCTACTGCAGCGCGATCAAACTGATTTTAGGTTTTTACGACCTCGTTTTAATTATTTTCACTCCAAACGAGTGGACTGCCGCTTCGAGAGAGCACTCGATTGAACACCGTGTACAGCCGAAGAGCCGGTCTGACGTAAAAGCCTCTTTACTACTTGCAGGTACGCACACCAGTATATCCACCGTCATTTGATAATTTGAAAAAAAAAAAAAAAAAAACGTGATCGCAGCTAATAAACAGTATAGCCACGTATAGTTGGGTCCGTTCAATTACCTGTTAATAACCACGGCTGAAATCCAGTGCCTTTCCCTAGTAACGAGCTCACACGAGCAAAAGGGACACGCGCGCAGAGGGGAACGGGTACACATGTATGTCCATACATACTCCCCCCGAGTGGCACGAGGATACAAATACAGACAACCGTATAAAAGACAGTGAAAGTAGCCGGTCCGCGGAGGCCAACGGCCGGGGTAAAAGCTTCCCCGGCGCGCTGGCGTCTGTCCCCCGTATTTTCGATCGACAGGAGACGCTTTGGCTCGCTCGCAAAAGTCGGATACGCCAGGGAGATTGAAATTCCAAGACGCGTTCGAGCTGATACGAGGACACGGAATATATATACTCGTGCGGTCTCGGCGCGGGAATTTGCATCCACGTATACAGTCCTCGACCTCGTCTGCCTCTGTGCGGCAAATCAGATTCCGTCCGGACGCGAATGGTCTTCTCTTGTTTCCCTCCCCTCGAGTCAAGGTAGTTGTATCCCTCCCTGTGGTAAAAAAAAAAAAAAATAAAAAAAAAATAACGTACTATTATGTATAGAATGGCATACGACAACTACAGGTGTTGCGTCAATTCGAGATGACTATACGATGTTGCTTTGTTTCTGTCTCGTAAAAGTCGGGGGGAGACATTGACATATCGTCTTCTTCCCTTCTCGAAAGTGTCATTTGCATTCACTGATCGAGCTTTCGATAACTGTAACTCAATAATTTTAGAGAGACATAAATCCTTCAAAAAGTGTATGTGTTTTCGGTGGGCTATCGCCACGACTCCAATGTTAAAATGAGGTTGAAATTATGATTTTTGACGAGTGATGTAAAAAAATACCTATTTAAAATTTTCCTTGTCTATTACCCATACTTGTTTTTCTATTGGGTGATCCCAAAGTTACATTAGCTTTTCATTATGTCTTTGGTTTAGGATACAAGCACACCTACGTGTCTCGACACGCATTGTTCGGACGCCCCTGAGGGAGACGTGCGCAATTAGAGAAGGTGGCGTGCGCGCGACGGGCCACGCTTTCCTTAACCGACGCGGTAACGAAAACTCGCGGTGTTGCTTCCCTTCGTTTGGTCGATACTCGTATACACACGTACAGCTCGGAGTAACCGGCCAAACTTGATTGTATATTATTAACCAGTTCACTCCTGCACCTTTAAAAAGGAAAATTAAAGGGTGACTTGGAGTTTCCTTTAATTTTCCGCTCCGACGAAGGTACATGATCGCGCGCAGCCGACGTCGCGCCCGTTTAATCGAGCGAAAAATTGCAAAACTAATCACCAAAGAGGAATCTTGTAGTCTTTGTTGGGCCGGAGGATAATAAGATTGTGGAACAAAGTGGAGAGCGGCGCCAAGTAATGAAGGGGGGGGGGGTGGAACCTGAGAGTCTCCAGGGAGGGAAAAGGGCTAAATCAGGGGCGCGTGCGGGTGTAACGTATACAGCGACCCTGCGATATCTGGCGCGTGTCGAGTGGGCGGGAAAAGGGACTGGTAATCGGCGACGGCTGTACGACTACGAAAGGAGGCGCAACCCGATAATGACTGCGAGACGGATGAATAATTGGTCGGCGCACCCGTGACTGATCCAGCGTCCGTCAACGTCGCGTATAACGATGCCGTCGGATGATACAGCAAAGTGGAGGGGAGAGAGAGTGGCAGCGGAAAGCATGCGTAATTATGCACTTGTATAATTCAGGCCTCGGTGTATACGAGTGGGCTTCGTTAAGTGACGTTCCCACGGCGACAAAACGGGGAGCCCTGGAGTGTGACTCTGAGATTTTTTTGAGCCTTTCGAGCGCAGTTCTGAACTTTTAACCTTACCTTCTTTCCGGCGCTATCCTCCTGGATTTGAGTGGCATGAAAAATTTCAACGCGTTAATCGATTACGAAACTCGTGGATACAAGCGAAGCTCCGAGCTGTATTTTTAGTGCTTTCACCGCAAGCCCTCTGTGGTATACATTTTTGTGTACACTGATTTCTCGCGCTAAAATATCAGGATCCTCGAAATATAACTAACTGGTTAAGGTTGTAAAGTAAAATTGGATTTATCCCTGGGATGCGCGCAAATGTAAATATTTAACCGGTGGATCGCTAAAAAAGTCCCGACTCGCGTCCCTCTCTGCCGATTCCATTTGATATTCTAATGGAAAACGTCACTCGGGGAAAAACCCGTAGCGTAGATTATGCGCTTTTTTTTATACGAGCACTTTTAATTTTAGCTCCGGTGCCTCAGCAAAACTATACAAAGGAAAAAATGGGGGGGGAAAAAAAAACCAAAGCGATGCGTTTTTGAGGTCGTCCCACAAGGCCTGATGGACTTTTTTATCGCCATCGATTATCCGCGACTTTTGCGGTGGTTTAAAAAAAATCGCTTTTATTACCCGGCGATGTATATTAAAAAAGAGACGCACCTCTGTATCGATATCGTCGTTCAATTTCACCGACTCGGGACGTTTCGTCGCCCGCTCAAAGGTAAATAGATCCTGCTACTTTTATACTTTTCTCCACACATAATACAATGTTTGCCTCTCATTGCAAAGTCATTTCGCAACTTTGTACTGATAATAACCTTCATATTCTAGTGAAAAACAAAAGGCAAACTCGATTGGCTATACTCCCTACAATGCCATTAACAGGAACGGGGCGAGCAGAGGGGGAAAAAAAACACAACTTTTCAGAGCTCGTTAGCGAGGGGGTTGAGCCCCTTTTGGTTTCGGATGTACGTAATTATAACGCGGTGGAAACTCGAGGCGCTCGAAAACTCGACTCAGGGGGGGGGGGGCTCGGAATATCGATGCTGCTAATTAAACGCGGGGGCACAGAGAGCAGGTGCTCTTTTAACCAGCTATGCGCCGCGATCGCGAGCACAAGCCGAAGAAGAAGAAGAAGCTGTCGAGAGAAGGAAGGGGATCGCTCTCACCTTCGCCTCCTTTTCCGTGAACTCTGCGCGTTATACCCACGCGTATACCAGCGCACGAAGCCCCAGGCTGTACGGGGGAGTGTAAGATGCAGCTGGGGGAGACTTTGCTTCTGGCGTGTAATCGCCGGTTATGGACGAGTGGCTGGGAACAAGAGCGCCCCTGGCCTCGGGACACCGAGATGGACGCTCAAAAGAGCCATTATTTTTCTCTGGTGTTTATTTCGTGCTACGTGCCGTGAAAAATACCGAGACTACAAATTAATATCCGTTTCCAACCAGTGGTGGACAAATCAAGTGCTCCGCGATTATTCGCAAACGACGGCGATTCCCGTGAGCGCATAGGCCGTGGAATCACTGCTCCAATTATCGATCGGTCCGTAAGTGCGGCTAACAGCCTCGGCCGAACGTTTCTACCACCAGTGGCTGTTTGCATCCAGCTCCGAGTCTACATCTGTGAACTTTGTAAATTTTTAAATCATCAGCGATGAAAGTATACCTAAACTTTGTAACTTGACGTTAATGGCCCACGGCTTACAGTATATAAACGGAGCCAGAGTTTTCCGATGAAAAAAACAAGAGGACCCGCGTGAAAGCTGAAAAAAAAAAGTGAAGAAGAGAGGGTCGCCGGAATAATGGATAACGTTTGCGCTCGGGCGTGTAGCTGCTAATGGATCTTCCGAGAGGGCAATAAATTGTTGAAAGATGCAAACCTATCGTACACGTGAAAGCTCGAAAGTCGAGCTGGAGTATAGGCGAACAATTAATGTTTATATCCCTTTACTGTTCTATGCGAGGGTGTGTGCACACGCGTGGCGTCAACTTCGGCGAAGAAACTCGATTTCCCCGTATATACTATACATAGCTCGAGACCTCGTGCGACGCGAAGGAAGCCGCCCTCCCGGGAAATGCATCGGTAATTGCTCCCAGCGATGCACGCCGTATACAATATAACCGTTGTATGGATGGAAGTACAATAGGTGCTCTACTCCCCCCCCCCCTTGCATGTATATATACATTTATTGCGTAACGCAAGGGGAGCGTGCAACCTTATATACGTGGGGCTCTTTGCTTTGCGGGCGAATCGAGTTACGGAGGCTTGATTGAAAACACGATCGCGGCGTTGGGGACTTGCTCCTTTATTCCACCCCCGACGCCTATATCTTTTCTCTCGGTTTGATTTAAATGTTTATTGCTTCACGAGAATCCTGCTTTTTTTTTTTCATCCAAGACCAAAAGTCCCAATGGAACGAAAGGAAATCGTTTAGACCCTACGGTCGGACGTTTATGCAGCGCGTGTGAGAGTTTGTTTGTCGGGTGGATTTGCACCTTCGTCGAACGGGATGACTTCATAGGTCGAGATTTCGTGCGCCGC